ACGCAAGTACCTACACAGTTTGGGGGGCCTGCTCAGATGTGGGGTGACAGGTTACTCAGCACCTGTGTGAAGAAAGCATTCAAGAGTTTGGAGGACTCTATTGCCAAGTTTAGAAGGAATCCAACAAGATAACACTGGCTCCCCACCAAAGTATTCACTGGCCTCGCTGGAGTGTCAGTACTTGACATTTCTTTATTTAATCTTTTTTGGCCAGACAGTTTTTTTCAAAGAGGAATGTGTAAGCTCATTCCGAAATGTCTGCATCAGAGGCCGGTCGCACTCATATACTCATTGCTGGGATTTTTCTACCACTTCTCTTAAATAAAAAGACATTTTTGCAACATTTCATACTGGTTTCTTAATGGGAGAGTACTTTAAAAGCACATTTACATTTATAATCTTACTTGAATCTCAAAATAACCCCATGGGATATGGAAAGCAAGAGTTAACAGGTTTAAAGTTGAAGAAATAGCAGCCCAGAGAGGTTCAATGTCCTGTGAAAGGTCACAGGGTGGGTAAGGACTTGGCTCAGTACGTTCACACCTTTTCCACACCTTCAGAGTGCTAGACATTTCAGGGTACTTCATCCTGCAATTCCACTTTTCCAGGTAAATTCCCTACCCCTTCCACATACTAACCCCACTAAAGCTGGTGCACTTTCAAGACTAGTCCAGGCTACAAAGAATCCTCCCTCAAGAAGATTCTAATCTACCAGGCATCAGAGTGTTTTGCCATCCCTCCAACCAAAGAGATGTACCCTTTTTGTTTTGTTTTGTTTTGTTTTTGTACAGAGTATTGAAGCCAGGGGTGCTTGACCACTGCGCTACATCCCCAGTCTTATTTACTTATTTATTTATTTAGACAGGGTCTCGCAAGTTGCCCAGGCTGTCTTCAAACTTGGGATCCTCCTGTGTCAGCCTTCCGAATCACTGGGATTAAAGGTGTGGGTGTGCACCACCATGCCTAGCTGCCTTTCCTCCCTTTTGATAACTTAGGTGAAAATCAGCCTGTCCCACTGGGCTTCCAGCTGCTCAGGAGGTGGAGGCAGGAGAATCGAGAGTTTAAAGCCAGCCTCAGAAAAAAGCAAGGCCCTCAACAACTCAGTGAGACCCTGTGTCTAAATAAAATATAAAAGACGACTATGGCTCAGTGGTCGAGTGCCCTTGAGTTCAATCCCTGGCAGCAAAAAAAGTCAGCCTGCCCAGTACATGGTGGGCACAAAACTGGAAAAAACTATTGTTCTCATTCCTTCAGTACGACATTGTAGTATCTAGTAACTGGCAGGTGTAGAGCAAATCTACTCACCTTTCATACTCTTTACTAACTTCTACACCTGAAGGTCTGTTCATTTAATTTTTAAAAGTTTTTTATTTCTAGGGCTGGGATTGTGGCTCAGCAGTACAGCGCTCGCCTAGCATAGGCGGGACCCAGGTTCGATACTCAGCACCACATAAAAATAAAGACATTGTGTTGTGTCCATCTATACCTAAAAAATAAATATTAAAAAAAGGTTTTTTAAATTTCTATAATTAAAAAAATCTTTTTTTGTAGTTGTAGATGAACAAAATGTCTTTTATTTTATTTTTATGTGGTGCTGAGGATCGAACAGTGCCTCACATGTGCTAAGTGAGTGCCTTGCCACTGAGCTACAATCCCAGCCCATCATTTCTATAATTTTTGAGGTATAATTTATACTCTGTGAAATACATAAGTATTCAGGATACAGTTTGGTAAGTTTTCAGATATGTACTCCTACACTAAATTCAAGATGCAGAACGTTCCCATCACTACAGAAAGTTCCTAGATACCCCTTTCCAGTCAAGCCCACCCTAAGAGCCCACCATCCTAATTTCTACCATTGAGCTACATTCCCAGATCTACCATCCTGATTTCTATCATTATACATTAGTTTAACCTGCTCTGAACATCAGATAAGTGGAATCATATTGGATTTATAATCTTTTGAATCTTTCTTCTTTTATTGAACATAATGTCTGCCAGACTCATCCAAATTGTATCAGTTTGTTCCCTTTCTAAATGAGTATTATGTTATTCATTCCATTTTTTAAATCCAGCTATATTATTACTAATTCAAAATTCCTTCAACATTTCTCTTACATGCTACTTTCCATGCATATTTCTCTTGGCCATGCTTGAGTGACAAAAACATGAAAGTAGATTATTTTGTATCACTGTCCTTTTAGGTAGGGGTGTCTAACCAGGCAGTCCAACATGGTGGTCATGAGCACAGGCTTCTGATTAGGCAAATCTGGATTTGCATTTCCTGTTTAACATGTAACAGATGGGTGATTTGAGGTAAGCAATTTAACCTCTCGGTGACTGTTTTCCCACTTGCAAAATGAGGATAATAATACCTTCCTAATAGGGATTTGTGAGGCCTACATTATATTGTACATAAAATGTTTGGCACATGCAAACTAATAATAGCCTCAAGCTAGACTATAATAAACATTGTTTCATTCATATTTTAAGTTTTTGTAAGTCATATAAAATTAATGGGTATATATTTTTAAAATTTTTTTAAAGTAATGTGGCTTCTTTCTTAAAAAATTCTATTTATTTATATGTGGTGCTGAGAATCAAACCCAGTGCTTCACACATACTAGACAAATGCTCTACCACTGAGCCACAACCCCAGCCCTCAAAGGTTTTTAAAAGAAAGATTTCATATTTAGATCTAGAAAAGTCTGTCTGATATTTTTTAAGAATGAATGTTATTTTCTAAGGAAAAAAGTAAAGCCTTCCATCATTTATTCACTGATAATTACATATGGAGTGTGAACTATGAAAAGCTCTTCAAAAGAGTTAAAGACATAGTTCTAGCTTTTAGGATGTTTGGTTTGGGGAGGGTAAAAAGATAAAAACAAAAATAATTACAAAGCCAAGTGTGATAAATAACAACAATAATAATCATCATCTATTAATGTAATAGTTAAAGAGTCTGGTCTCTGGGTCACACTGTAAGGATTCAAATACCAGCTGTGTGATGTTGGGCAAGTTACTTCTTTGTGTGTTACCTTGGCTGTAAAATGTAGGTATTCACTATTTATCTAGCAGGATTACTAGCAGCATGTACTCAATAACTAATCTCTCACATTTATTAGACATTCAGTATGTGCCATACACTGCATTTAATTCTTATGTCTATTACTTTACATAATCTCTACAAAACTGTCACTACTCCTGAAGTGGCACCCCCTTTCTCCACAGAAAAGCCCTCTTCACCATGGCTGATTTTAGGACTGTCAGCAAAAGAGTCCATTGTAGATAAACTTCCTATTTTTGTGACACCCTGTTTACTTGGCTACTGGCTGAGAAGATACCAGCACTCCAGGTGCTGGACACCCCCTTACTAGTTTTTCACAAATGTATCCAGTATAGTACTTTGAAGAAATGTGCAAACAAGGCCTCTGGCCTTGAGCTGGGCTTCACAGAGATGTCTACATTTTTAAGATAAGTTACAAATGGGCTCCATGGTAACAGTTGGCAGGGGGAGGATAGAAAGAAGCTCCCCCCTTCTCAGGTGTTGTCCTTGAAGAGTTAATGTGCCCAGAACAGTGAAAGAAAAAGCTGCTTTTATGTGAACTTCTACAGACTGTAAACTTCTGAGCCCCTCCCCTTACATGCTGGGTATAAAACTCTGAAACTCCCTGAACTCGGGGTTCAGGGGATTGATTGATTACAGCAAAGGCTGTGCCCTCTGAACCTGTCTGCAGTCAAATAAAACTGTTTCCTGCTATCTTCGATGCCTTGCCTCGTTTGTCCCTACAACACTCCTACACCCATTGTACTGATGAGGCAACTGAAGGGCAGGGTGTTCAGGTAACTGATCTAAGATTATATAGCTAGTAAACAACAAATACCGCAGGAAAGACACAGACATCTGTAAGTACTTACCTTAATGAGAATCAAATCATTAGTATTTGCAAAGTGCTTAAAAGAGCTAGCACATAATAAGGCCTATATATATGGATGTTAAATAAATATAAATTGCTGTGGTGATTCAGAGATGACAGTAAATAAATTACATGCATGGTGACTACAGTGTTGAGGAAGACTTTGGAAAGGTGATGTTTATGCTGGGCTCTGAATAGTGGACAGGATCTAGCAAAATGGAGATGTTGGAGAGTGCATTTGAGAGAGAGAGAATAAGGAAGAGACAAGAAGTGAGAGAAAACTTCCTTTTTGTCTAACCAGTCACTATTCCTATCAGTACTTCTTCAGTGAATCTCTTCTCATTTGCCTCTTATCCCTGTAGAATCTGCTGTTCTTACCCCTTCATCTTAATTATCTATTGCACAATATTCCTAAGTGTCCATGTGCCAGGATAGGTCTCAGCTCCCATTCTGCACTATATTCTTCTAAACTGAATTCCCAGTTTTGGGCTGGTCTCACTTCAATCCAGCCATCACACTGTTACCAGAAAGAGTATAAAGCCACCAACCTGGCTCAGACATCCCCCTGTGGTCTTTCCCCATCGTGTCCAAAATAAATCTCAATTTCCCCAACATCCTATTTGAAGCCCTTCACTAACTGAACTATGCAGGCTTATCTCCCATCCTTCACCTTCCCACTCTGCACCTGAGCTTCAGTAAAGTACCTGAAATCTGGACAACACACACTTATACATAAGTACTTGCTGAAAGAATGTGGTTAGAACTCCATCCTAATTCCATCCCTTGTCTACTGAAACATTCCCCACCTTGCCTGCCCTGGTTGGAAAAGCCCTAGTTACATCCCTCATTCCACCCATCCCAGCTTCCAGAGCTTAAAACATAGCAGTGGGTGCACGTTCCCCTAAAGCCCTCTACAAACACAGAAGCCCACAGGAGGCCGGAAGAGGAACTGCTTTGCGCCGTGCGGAGGCCGCCATCTTGGCTGAGGTGGCCGGAAGTGGCTGGCGCGCGGGCGCGGACTGAGGCTGCGCGGCTGCCCCGCCGCAGGTCCTGGGCGCCCGGGGCGTTGCAGCGTTGGCTCGCAACCCTGTGCGGTGCCGTCTGGCAGCCACAAACCTTCTCCGCGGGGTTGCGCCTGTCCTTCCTCCCACCGCCCCAGCCGCTGTCCTACTCCTCCGCCAGGGTTCGTGCAGCGACTCGCACCCCTCGGCTGGGGTGCGCGCTGTGCACCTGCCTGCCCGAAAACATGTTGCGGGAGCCCGAGAGCCCGGGTCTCCCTAGCCCTCAGGCCGCGGGGGAGCAGCACGGCGGCCAAGACGGTGAGACCGTGGCCTTGACCGTCTCTCTGGAGTTGGCCCCGAGCCCCCTCCTGCAGGAGAGCACCAAGGAGGGCCTCGGCGCCGTGAGGGAGGGGGCTGCGGAGCCCGCCCCCACCGGCCAAGGCGCGAGGACCTTGGCAGCCAAAGCCCTGAGGCGGCGCAGGGCCTACCGCTGTCTGAATCGGACGGTGGCTGAGGTGGTGCAGTTTCTGCTGGTGAAGGACAAGAAGAAGAGTCCCGTCACACGCTTTGAGATGGTGAAGTATGTTGTCGGAGATTTGAAGGATCTGTTCCCGGAGATCATCGCAAGGGCCGCAGAGCATCTGCGGTATGTCTTTGGTTTCGAGCTGAAACAGCTTGACCGCAAGCACCACACTTACATCCTCATCCACAAACTAAAACCTCTTGAGGAGGAGGAGGAGGATCTGGGAGGAGATGGCCCCAGATTGGGTCTCTTAATGATGATCTTGGGGCTTATCTACATGAAAGGTAATAGCGTCAGGGAGGCCCAGGTCTGGGACATGCTGCGTCGGTTGGGAGTGCTGCCTTCCTCTTTGGGTACCCGAAAAGGCTTATTATGGAAGAATTTGTGCAGCAGCGATACCTCAATTACAGGCGAGTGCCTCACACCAATCCACTGGAATATGAATTCTCTTGGGGTCCCCGAAGCAGCCTGGAAATCAGCAAGATGAAAGTCCTGGGGTTCGTGGCCAGGCTCCATAAGAAAGAACCCCAGCACTGGGCAGTGCAGTACCGTGAAGCCCTGGCAGATGAGGCCGATAGGGCCAGAGCTGAGGCCAGTATGAGGGCTAGAGTCAGAGCCAGAACCAGTGCAAGGGCCGGTCTCCACCACTAGTGAGGACTAAAGGAAAGCTGGCCAACAAGAGCCCCCTGGGTATGGAAGCTACTGTCTTCTACTGTCTTGAGTCACAAGTAGTATAGGTGGGGGAGAGTAGTTAGTTTCTGAAAAAATTGTGTAACTTTAGTATTTTTGTTAAATCATTTATAAACGAGATGGGTCTTTTTTTCTGTAGGATTTTGATGTAGAATTTTACTGTCTTTGTAAAATGGATTGAAAAACTTTGCATTTTATTCTGTGTTCTTAAAACAGATTATGCAGCATTGTAATGCTGCAATTTAATTGTTTAAAGGACCCTCAGCAGTGTGATCTGGTACCAAGGGAAAAAATAGCTGATTTGTGTCTAGCTTCCAATACTTTTTGTCTGTTGTATTTAAAAAAAAAAAAAAAACAAAACTGATAACCTACCTCTATTTTCTTGTTCTTTTGGTATCTGGAAGAAAAGTTAAATCCAGTAAATAGTAGTATACCCTGGTACACTTAATAAATTAAACATGTAAAGCATCTTTTTTTGTGATGCACTGTTTTGGGCATTTGGGGATAGAATGTGTCCCTTTTTTTAAGAGTTGGAGAAGTTACAGTGTGGTGAGTTGAAAGCTACACATGTACACCTAACCCAATCTGGGGGTGATTGGATGAGGTCTGCTTGAGGTTAGCTAGTAAGATCCCTTGGGGGGCTGGGGATGTGGCTCAAGCGGTGGTAGCGCGCTCTCCTGTCATGCGTGCACGGGTTCGATCCTCAGCACCACATACAAACAAAGATATTTTGTCTGCCGATAACTAAATAATAAATATTAAAATTCTCTCTCTCTCTTTCTCTCTCTTTTTTTTTTTTTTTTAAAAAAAGACCCCTTGGGTTCTAGGGGAGGAGAAAAGGAAAGAACAGAGAAAGAAGATGCTATTAGGGGAGGGTTGAAGACGGTATTAAAAATTATTTAAGCTGAGCTCAGTGGTGCACGCCTGTAATTCCATCAGCTTGGGAGGCTGAGGCAGGAGGATCTTGGGTTCAAAGCCAGCCTCAGTAAAAGTGAGGCACTAAACAACTCAGTGACACCCTGTCTCTAAACAAAATACAAAATAGGGCTGGGGATGTGGCTCAGTGGTCAAGTGCCCCTGAATTCATTCCTTGGTACAAAAAAAAAAAAGATTTTAAGATTGCAGATGCTCATCAATAGAGTGGGAAACAGACCTGAAACATGGCAGATTTGGAAAATACCCTACATTTGCAAGTGCTCTTGCTCTAGGGCAGTTACAATGTACATTGATGATCACCATAAGCATTTTGGCCTGCTCCATCTTCCTTCTCAACCTCTACAAGTTTCCCTCTTCTACCAAAGCCCTCAGAGGCCAAATAGTGTAACAATTCTGAAATCTATAGTGTGGATGGAGAGTACATAGAAAGTCTCCTACTACTGAAAACTTCTACTTCAAGATCTCCCCTGACGCTTGTAAGCCCAGTGCTCTCTTCCATGTTTCTACCTGCTGGTTTCTACTCACCTCCTTCTATTTGGTGAAGACCTGTGAGGCATCCCTCACATTCCTTGAAGCATCTTAGATATACCATGCCTACCACCTTCACTTTGGGAATAATCCTGGAGAAAGGGCACATACAATAATAGGGGACTTAGTAGGTTCACACCAGAGATGGGTGTGGGGGGATTGTGAAATCATACAGCTGTCATAATTGAAAAGCTGTTTTCATTTTCTGTGATTTTTCTGCTTCCATTTGTGTCCAAATAGCATTTTTTAGTATGTTAAGGTGGGCATACAAATTACTTTGGGACACAGTTCTGGGGATCCAACAAATCAGACCAAAAGCTATTAAGACAAAAAAGTTTACTAATGATTAAAATATGACCTTTTTTGTTGTTATTTAGTATATTTTTAATTTTCTAATATTTTTATTTGTAAAATGTGACTTCTGAGTAGTTTGTAATTCATTAAACAAAATATTGAGTGCCCATTGTGTGCTGGTGTCTTTGATGAATACTGATGTTATTGGGAAGCTGGCTTTGCTCTCAAGGAGCAATAATGGTGATCGTTTCTCACATTTGTTTTTTCTCACAGTGGCTGAGAAGTCAGCAGTGTGTGTATCTAAAGGTTAGATTACTTGATGATTAGCCTAAGGTCACTTGATTAGTAAAAAATAGCAACAAGACTAGAACCAAAGTCTTTGCCTGCTGATGCAGTGTGTTTCATTCTAGCACATTGTTCCTCATTTCTGGCCTTTGATTTATTGTGTGTGGTTTTAGTTATCACAACTCCAAGAAACAAGTTAGGCAAGTATAATTATCTCTTTAAGGGAATGAGGTGTAGAATAGAAATACTCTTTTATCAGTGACAGAGATGGCTTTGCTCAAGGCAAACATAGCACAGGTCAACAGTACCATTTATCAAACATCTACTATAGGCCAAAGCATTTCTACCCTACTTTTAAAGTCACATTACAAAGCAGACGTTACTAACCACCTCCATTTTACAAATACTAATGGTACTTGTCATTCATTCAACTCCTAAGATGAGTCAGCTTTTTTATGCTTATACATTTTGGGGGAGGCAGGGCAGGGTTACCCGGGATTGAACTCAGGGGCATTCAACCACTGAGCCACATCCCCAGCCCTATTTTGTATTTTATTTAGAGACAGGGTCTCACTGAGTTGCTTAGCACCTCACCATTGCTGAGGCTGGCTTTGAACTCAAGATCCTCCTGCGTCAGCCTCCCAAGCTGCTGGGATTACAGGTGGGAGCCACCACGCCTGGTACTTTATAAATGTTTTAATGATTTTTAAATAATAGTCTTACAGGATAGATATCTGTTTCATTTTGTACTATTCAAATGGAACTCAGAAGCTGTAAAAATCTCACAGAGAGTCTGAGAGATCAAGGTTTGGAGCTGGAGTCTGACCGAGTCACAAGCCTGCACTTTTTGCTATTTTACATTTCCTTCTTGGAACTTCTTCCAGACTTGGGTCATCTGTCACCTGACTCATCTTTCTTTAGACTCCACTGTCTGTCTGGAGATATAAGAGCTGTGTAGCCAAGGTGATTATGGCAAGATGCTGGCCTGCAGAAAAGTAAAAAGAAGGCTAAAATATAAAGTTGGGGATTATCTGTGAGCATGGATTTCAGCTCTGCCTGCTCTCAGTGTTCTCAAAATGCTGACTACATGTCGAGTGTCTTTTTCCTCAAACTTCCTATATTTTGCCCTTGTTGGCGGTGTTTCCTCAGTGTTTCATTTCCTCTCTCTAGTAAGCCTCAAATTAGTCGTTAATTCCATGGGATAATCAAATAACATTGTGGACCTACACAATTGTGATTCCCAGTGTTGTTTCCAGATTGTACAGATGGCAGAACTTGTACCCCTGCTTCAGGATGAAAGACCTCCCATTGTAACAAATGGCATCATCCTTCTCAGAAATGCTGAGAGTATGGCCACTGGGCCTATGTGGCCATGGTCAGGGCAAAATATGAATTCCCTTATTGCTTATGGTCATTCACATGAGGGAGAAGGAAGGCCTAGATCCCCCATCTGGCTCCCCTTTAGACAGTAGATAGAACTAGATCTTCCTGGGCAAAACAATGTGTATGTTGGGGGTAGGAAGGATTTGCTTGCGAGAGTAGTGGCAGATGGGTCCAAATCATATTTAGTGCAACTAGGCAGCAAAGCAATGAAGGAAATTCCCTTGAAAACTACAAATCACGTCTTGAACAATGGGAAGGTCAATGTTTTATTTAGAGACAGGGTCTCACTGGGTTACTTAGGGCCTTGCTAAATTGTTGAGGCTGGCTTTGAATTCATGATCCTCCTTCCTCAGCCTCCTGAGCCGCTGGAATTACAGGCATGCACCACTATCCCTGGCTGGAGTTGGGAATTTTGACTCATTGAAACTAGGAAAAGGAGTGCTCGGAAAGAGGCGCAGGTTACAGTTCCAGCCACCAGCAGTTACACAGGGCTCCAGAGGTGGCAGCTCATTTGTAGTCCCAATCACAGTTTCAGGCCCAATCACAGTTTCCACTTGAGGTAATTATGTTTCGTGCCTTGGTCATGATGGCAGCTGATACTTGTGCAAATTATTCCTCAAATCTTGCAGTCCAGCAGAGATGGCAACAATTAACCTCCCAGCAGAAAATGTATTGACTAAGGAAGTTAGGTATTCTGAAAAGTGTCCTAATCAAGGTCTTTTAAAAGTGATGACTGTGTGACCTTGAACAAGGAATATCAGTTTGAAAAATGAAGATTTAGGGAAGAGTTTAGTGGATGATTGGAGAAAGGATGAGCCACAGTCCATACCCCTCACCTCAGCCTAGGAGTTAATGTCAGACTTTGCCTAATTCCCCAGCCAAGTGTGACCCAAGTGTGATCCAAACAGTGGCAGCTAGCGTTAATTAAAGTTTTGTGCCAGTTGTGGTGCTATGTGTGATTCCACATGGTCTCCTGCATCGGCAGAACAGCCCTATGACACAAGTTCCACATTGCTAATGTTAGAATACTATAAGGAAACCACGGGGAAGAAAAATTCCTCCCATTCTGTCAATGCACAAGTTGGCCAAGTTCATGACATTACTAGTGGAGAGCAGATTGAGAACTTGAACCCAAATATTTCAGGTGGTGCTGGTTTTCCACTCTACTGGTCCTCAGAGGATCCTTAGGGAGCAGCCAACCTCCTGTAGGAAAAATGGGTTGAGAAGGAAGGAAAGAAAAGCATGGACACTTCTCATTTCCATCATACCCCAGAGCATCCAGGATTGGAAGTTGGAGGAGGCTATGAGAGATAGGGGCAAATCAGCTTCTCTAGTTGTAGAACTCTAATGGGGAGGGGAGTCCATTTTTTGAGGGATTATGCCCCTCAGATGTCTCCCAGACTCGCCACAGTGGCCCAGTGTTCATGTGGTGTGGCAGCAGCATCCATGGCCTAAGAAAGATTCCAGAGGTCACATCCCCAAACCATAATGATAAAGGAGGCCTCTTGAAATGCAAGGCTCCTGGTCCCTGCAGCTGACAGGTCTGCATTCCAATCCCACTCTGCCCGTGATAGCAAGGTGGCTTCAGCTGGGTTACCTAACCTCTTCATATAGAGATAATCCCGCCTACTTCAAAACACTGTGAAGGCTGCATAAGGGAATTACCAGTACACTATCTTGTACTTGCTAACTATGGTTATTATAACGTGTATTCACTCATTTAGCAAGTATTTATTGAGCATCTTCTAGATGCCAGGCATACACATAGGTGGGAGATTATAGCAGATAACAAACTAGACAAACATCTTTGCCCTCAGAGCTTACAGGCTAGGGTGAGGAGACATAATAAACAAAGTATGATACACCGCCTATCAGATAATGTGTCTGTCCAAGAGGAAATGAAGTAGGAAATGGGGAGAGAGTGCTAGGAGGGTGTTCAGTCTTAAAGAACTTGAGAAATGACAATCAAGTCACAATTGGAGGCTATAAG